GTGTTGGTGTATTTTGGGAGTACCTCTCTCTCTAGCTCATCCCGTTGACTCAGCTGATTCATAGCTGACCCTACATTGTGTTTTGGAGGCTGTAAACAAACAGCACCGGCGGGAGGGAGGGATTCACATAGCTGATGGGTTCGAACTGCTGGAGAGGCATGGCTTCTGAATTAGCAGTGTGCCTTCTTAAAGACAGGGCCACCTGAGTTCCTGGGAGATAATCTAGAAGGCCCTCTAGGAAGGCCAACAGTTTCATTTTTATAAATGGCAATGTTCCCATCCTCATAGTTGATATAGAGCGTAGTATGTGGGTGTTCGTGACTAATCAATGACAAAAGCCTTTTGATATATTCTGACATATGCAAATGAATAGAAAACAGATGGGAGGGTAGAAATCTAGGGAATTCTGCATGGGCCTGATACCTCACAAGGCATCACAAGCCATGTGAGATGGGATAAGAACTAGGCTCAGAGAGATCCAGGGTGACACCAAGGGAATGGTGCATTGGTAAGGAGATTGGAAAGGCTATTTCTAGAAATGAACGAATGTCTTACAAAGAACACATGAAATATCATGTATTTAATTCACACAGTGAGCCGTAAATTTCCCGGAAGTTACTATTGGAAGCGTATTTGTAAACAAATTAGACTATTTGGGAATAAGATGATCATTCAGCCAGGCAACAAAATCAAGCCAGAATCTTAATATCATAAGTTTTAACCCAGGAAGAGTGGGGAAAATGATGGCTAATTTGCCTGTTTTTCTTTCCTTCTCTTTTTCTGCCAAGAATTAAGAAGATGGTGATGAGCTTTATGAAGCTATTATTGCTTTTTCAATTTACTTACCCAGCACCTTTTAGTTAATGACTGGATTCTTGGGTTTGCATTCTACCCCAACACTGAATGCACATCCTTTTTAAGGGGGGGTTGCATACAAATAATTTTTAAAATATGCTTCATCTCTAAAATGTTTGCCTATATGGAAAATCAAAATTGTGAGGAAGGCATCAACTTTGTGAATGTAGGCAGAAGTGACCCACATAGTATTTCAGACTTACCACCAGTAACTCGTTTCATTTAACCTTATTTAAGGAAACTTAGAGAAGAAACACTTATAAACTGGCATTTCTGAAGCTCTGCTATGTGGGACACTGAACTTGTAGAAGATATTTATTATTAGACGTTCTTTGAACAAACTGCATCATTGTTAACTATGCTTAAGAAGTGTCACCTTATTATATTATCATTTCTTGGGAATTTGCAGTGCCCATTTGTACATTAAAACTCCCAAAAACATGTTGTTGTTGTTGTTGTAGGTATGTTCCATCAAGTAACCTGCAACTCATGGTGACCTTATGCACATTAGCTCTGAAACCTGCCCTGTCCTGAGCCAACATCATTGTCTCTGACACACCTAATCCCATTTCTCCAGTCACTGAGACAGTTCATCTCATCCTGGGTCTTCCTCTCCTGCACTGTCCCTCCGCCCTTCCAAACATGATGTCCTTCTCCAAGGACTGGTCCCTCCTGGCCATGTGCCCAAAATATGTGACATGAAGTCTCAAAAGCCTTGCTTCTATGGAGCAGTCTGGTTTCACCCTCTCCAGGACAGACCTGTTTGTTCTTCTGGCAGTCTATGGTATATTCAACACTCCTCTCCAGCACCACAGCTCAGAGGCATAGATCCTTTTTCTAAGATCGTTATTGTCCAGCTCTCAGATATATAGCAAGTAATTGTGAAGTCTATGGCCTTGATCATGCACACCTTAGTCTCCAGAATCACATCATTGCTCTTCAGTACTCTAGAGAGGTCCTTGACAGCAGACTTTCCTTTTTACTTTAACTAAAAACCTCTGTTGACTATCCACCCAACTATTCTCCTTCTCTCCTTGCCAAAACAACTTTGATTTCATTTAGGTATCAAGTTCCAACTGGAACCAGTGGTCTAAGCCAATTGCCCTTGCCAAAAGTGGGTTTAGCGGTGGCAGGTGACTTAAGTTAGTAGGATTCAGAAAGAACTCTGAAAGCTTCTAAAAGAAAACATTCTTTGCTACACAGAATTTCTTGCGTGAGAAGCTACTTTTGTTACACCTCCTTTTCTTTCTGGGCTGTTGTGTTGGCATGTGACATGTGGGCTATGACATTTATACTGTGAAGGAGATATCTCATATTTGAGCATTGCAGACTGAAGTGTTGGCAAATACTTGGGTCTTGATAACATCATTGAGCTAGCTAGTCACCCCAATAAATGGCCCAATTATTTTAGTATAAAAAAACCCCTCTAGATGATATGTTCATTGTTACTCAAATGTATTTAATCATTGAGCCCTATTTATGTAGAAAACCTGTCCCTGTGGTATGCAGTCGGGCAAGCTTGGGGCTCTTGTGGAAATGTTGTTGTTGTTTTATGATGGAAACATCCCCTTTTTGAGCAGTCATTCCTACCATCCACGTAGTGGGTTTCACTGTACTTCCTAGGTTCTCAGAGTGACTTCAATGGGCACCTTGGCCCAACAGAGATTCTAGCCTCACATAATGAGCAAAAAAGCAGATTTTTAACTCAAATAGTTGAGCTGTTTTAGAAAGCTAGGGGCAGCTTTTGTTATTTTTACAGAAGTATTTTAAACCATGAGTATAGGAAGTACCTGTAAGTTTTATCCAGTCACACTGTTAGGGAAAGATCTTACCCACCTAGCCATGAGGACACTAAGTAAGGCAAGCTCGAGGAGGTCAAGGAATGTGCCGAGGGCCCCAAAGGTCCACAGTTCGACTCTTCTAACTGGAGATGCAAAGCTGGACCCCTGTCAACTGTTGTTGCTGAGCTGACAGAACGGCTCAGAGCGGGTGAAGGTCCCGGCCGTGGTACCTCAGGGAGGAGGCTGGGCCTGCGGGGGAAACTGTGGCGTCTGTTTTGAGTTAACGAATCACTGAAAAAGGAAGAAAAGCTTCATTCTCGACACTTTCCCTGCACCAGTAGAGACTGCGTATCTATTTGGCTGTATTGCCCTCTTTTATGTGTTTTCTTTCCTTAAGTTTCCTTTCAAACATTACACAACACACTGGAGCCATGAAAATTTACACAGAGATATGAAAGAGCATTAGTAAGCTCTCCCCCCATTCCCACAGCATCCTCTTTCTCCTTCCCCCAGGTGAACATTAACAATTTATTATGCATCCTTCCATGCCGTATTCTGCGCGCAGGTACACGTGTGGATGGGATTCATTTTGCTTGCTTTCCTACATTTCTTTGAAACCAGAATTATATTACCAGATTTCCGAGCACTTTGCTTTTGTCTCTTAATAATACATAATGAGAAGTCCTATCATTCAGTACAGGTAGATATTTTCTTTTTAATAACTGCAGCATAGAATATGATATTGCTATACTTCATTTTATTTTACCGTTCACCCTTTTCTGAATATTAATCTTATTTCTAGTTACTTTATATTATATACACAAACATGTAAGCATAAAAGCAACAAGCTGTAATTAACCACAGCTTTGCCCAAGTCTATATTTTCCCTAAGGGGTCCTGGTGGTGTGAGGCATTACTTGTTGGGCAGATGACTGAAAGGTCAGTGGTTTGAGTCTACTAGCTGTTCCAAACCTACCAGCCACTCTGTGGGAGAAAGAAGAGGCATTGTCCTCCTGTAAGGGGGACAGTGGTGTTGTCATTGTTGTTATCTGATTGTTTTGGAACTGACTCATAGCTGACTCTCCAATGGGTTTTTCAGAAGCAATATATAGCACAGTAGGAGATTGCCCATCTTTCTTCCATGGAGCAGCTGGTGGATTCGAACCATGTACCTTTAGGTTGGCAGTGCAGCTCCTTGCCATTAAACCACCCAAAGCCCCATCTATAAAGGCACCACCTTGGAAAGCCAGGGAGGGGAGCCATGACCAGGGCTTGAAAACAATGGGGTTTTGTTTGGTTTGGAGGGTTTTTTAATTTGTTTGTATGGCTCTCTATGTTTTCTTCTTTCTAAGCCACATCGCTGCATCAGAACCAACAGTTTTATAACACCTTTATTAAAATAATAACAATTCTCTTTTTTAAAGATTTTTTTATTTTATTTTTTTAATTAATTTTAATGAAAACGTACAGAGACTTTGGATTTCCAATCATTCATTGTTGCACTTTTCTCCCTGCCCACCCCCCCTCCAGTTTGCTCTTCTCTTTGAAAAGTAAAAGAAAAACTCTTTCATGGTTATACAATTTCTCCCCCCAAGTCCACTCCACTACGCAGCCTTCATTCTGGACTCCTTTCATGACAATAATACCTAATCACACATCCCTTTTAAACAGTTCTCTCCCTCATCTGTTTCAATGCAGTATACATTATTTATCCCATCTTTCTCAGTCTGCCCCCCCACCTCGATGTCAGTCCTGTTTTACAACAGTGACATTATGCAGTATTTGTCCTTTTGTGACTGAGATATTTCACTCAGCGTAATGTCCTCCAAGGTCACCATTTTGTATAATATTGCATGAGTTCCTTGTTTTTCAATGCAGCATAGTATTCCATTGTATGAATATGCCACAGCTTCTGTATCCATTCGTTTGTTGATGGGACACTTGGGTTGTTTCCAATTATTTGCTATTGTGAACAAAGCTGCAATAAACATGAGTGTAAAAATAATAAAAATACTCCTATGAAAAGAGAAGGTTTACACATAGACTCAGCCAATCTTGCGATGTTAATTGGGAGGGGAAGTAAACAAGAGGGGAGAAAAAGGTTATAAAGAAATAAATTAGGTAAAGGGGAAAGAGACACACAAAAAGAGGTTTAAGAAACATTGCAACTAATCTATTACAATTAACATTGTAAACCAAAATGTCTAAGAACGATTGAATGAAAAACCAATGTGATTGGTAAACTTTCACTCATAAAAAGAAAGTAAATAATCAAATGAGAAATGACACTACTGCTGCGTGTCAGCCGAATCCCTGGACTTTGAGATTGTACGTTCCACATTTCATTGTGGCTTTCCATTTTAGGTACCTAGTGGACAAGATCAAGAAGAGGGATGGATTCAAGCTGCTGATGGAAGTGAGTGAGCGGGGAATTGTGGGAATCATGGTGGTGTCAGGCACCAGGGAGGAAGGGGACAATTTTCTAATCTGCTATATTTCGTTGTTTTTTTATGTTGCAGACTTAGAAACAAGTCATTAACTTAATTCAGAGTCCATTATGCTAATTTACTCTATTAGTGAGCCTTCTCCTCTGTTGAATTCACTGAGAACACACTTGCCTTTAAGTACTGAACATTAAAATGCTCAATAATAATTACCAAGGCTGGTATTGAATAAGTGATGACCTCTGTCTTGATATATAAATTACAAAATGATTGTACAGCAAATATTCCTCTGTGCTATAGTGGTGCCCACATGTGAAAAATCAATTAAGTGAATGTACAACAATAGATAAAATGTTCTCTTTTTATAATAAAAGAAAGAGAGAGTATTAACTTTGGAGCAATGGGGAAGGTATTTTGTTGTTGATAGTATTGGATCCTTTACCATTAGAAGAAATAAGATGTGCAAATGTGCACAATATTCTGTTTTTCCCCCAACACGTATGACTAAAATACAAAGACTACAGTATAATTCTGATTTTTAAGAAATATTAAGTGGATGACCTTAGTTATTTTTTAGCATGCACTTTGTTGTTGTTGTTATTGTGTACTGTCAAGTCAGAACTGACACATAGCTGACCCTCCAGTAGGGTTTCAGAGGCAGTTAATCGCACGGGGAGGAGATTGCCCAGCCTTCTCCTGTGGAGCAGTTGGTGGCCTCGAACCGCGTGCCTTCAGGATTGTAGAGTACCTTCTTGCCACTAGGCCACCAGAGCATGCACTTTAGAACATCTTTAACTCTGATGCAAGAATCATCAGAGTTTGTAGGCCAGGAAGCTGTACTGTATACAAAGCAATCAAACCCATCATTGGATTTACTTATTCAACAAGATTTGCTGAGCCATTACTATGTGCAAGGGACAGTTCTTGGAAACTAGAGATATAAGTCAGGGAAGCACCTAATGGCATGTTTCTACTGTTCAAACAAAACAAAAAATAGGCAATAAACAAGCAGTTAGGTATAGAGGAAACTTTCAAATCATGAAATGGTGTAGAGGGAGGGGAGACAGAAACAACAAAAATGACAGCAGATTAATGGGCGGTAATTGAGTACACAGAGGAATAATCAGAAAATTGCAGATGTAGCAAGGACTATTAGAGAAACTCTCTTGACCTTGCATCTTTTTTTAAATTTTATTTTTCCTTTTTTTTATTGATTTTAACTGAAAGTTTACAGAGACTTTGGATTTCCATTCATTTATTGTTGCACTTTTATCCCTGCCCACCCCTCCCCTCCCAAATTAGCTTTTCTCTTTGAAAAGGAAAAGAAAAGGTTCTTTCATTGTTATTAAAACCCTCCCCCTCAAGTCCACGCCACTGTGCAGCCTTTGTTCTGAATTCCTGTCATAACAATAATATCTAATCATATATCCCTTTTAAATCGGTTTCGATGCCTAATAACCTCACACGTCGACATATGCCCTGTAGGACCTTCAAAGGCTGGTGTTCCAGATATAGAACATCAGGTTGTTTTTCTGAGGTGTCTTTGGGTCGATAGACTTGATCCACCAACCTTATGTTAACAACTGAGTATGTGAATCATTTGAGAGGAGAAGGCCTGAGCATGGAAGAGGGAGATGGCTTACATGGTTTGAGTGATATGATCCAGTCTGAGGTTATCCTTAAGCTGAGACTTGGAAAATAGCAAACAGCCAGGCAAGCAGAGGTGTGAAACGAAAGAATTCTAGGAAGAATCAATAAGCACACAGAGGCTTAAAGCTGAAAGAGTTTTATGGGTTTAAGGAACAAAAGAAAGTGCCTTAAACCACAGTTGCAGAGGTGAGCAGGGATCTTGTGAAGGGAGTTAGATCAACATAAGGCCTTTGACCTGTCCAGTGAGTTTAGTCAGTGTGCTATGGACCACAGCGTCAGAATTCAGGTAGGGAGTTGAGCGGCTAGGCCAGAGGTCGTACTTCTCTGCCAATTCTAATCCAGAGGCTTCTCAGGATAAAGATGGAAAATAACAACAACAACAACATGATTCACAGCCTCAAAAACCCAATGGAGAGTCAGCTATGAGTTGGTTCAGACTCAATGGCATTGAGTTAGAGTTGGCACTGGAGAAGTTTTGAGCAGAAAGGGGCATGGCTTCCCTTTTGAAAGACTACACTTGATGCTCTAAGGAGAGAAGAATGCATTTTTGAAGTGGGGACCAAGGAAAGGAAGAGAACATGGTAGGACTTTTGGAATGGTCCAGTTGGTACGTGGTGATGGGACTTCAGCAAACATGCAGAACCTGACGTACAGAGTCCTAGCTTCGCCTTCCACCACTGCTCAGCCAGGATGCGTCAGATTCCAGAGCGCCTGGAAGCCAGGAACATAAGGAGCTTGCGAAGATAGCAGAAGCATCCATATTTAAATGACTTCCTGGCCACAGCACAAAGGAGAAAGAAGACAAATGCAGAACGTGGGCATTTTGCACGAGGCTGACCTGGTTTCTTCAGCAGGTGAAGAAAACCAGAGGGGAGAGAGGTGATTATCTCTGTAGGCTTGAAGAGACTGGAGAGGCGTACCAACCAAGTGCAACATATGGGCCTTGTTGGGATCCTAATTTGAGCAAACCATCTGTAAAAAGTCATTTTGAAGTAGTTGGAGAATTTCAAATAGGATCTCATTGTAGTCAATAATTTTCCTTGGCTCCATCGTGGCATTATGACTATGCCAGAAACTGGCCAGGCGGCTTTAGGAATGCATACACTTAGACTAGCAGGTAGAGGAACAACAACAGGCTTATGATTGCTCTGCATTTGAGTTGCTTACTTGCTTCTCTTTGGCTATGGAAGCTGTAGAAAATTCTATAAACCTTGGAATAGTTTTCTGTTACAACTGAGAGAAAGTTTACCTCCTGAGTTGATTAAAAAATTATCCTTACCTTACCACTCTTGAAAAGCAGTTTGTATTATATCTTTTGTTAAAGTAAAGGTTTAACAAAAGGGAGAGAGGAACTTCCCACAATCATCTTCCCTTATTGGTATTGTTAGCTCTGACTGGATGAACAGACATTGCCCAGCCCTGTTCCTTCTTTAAATTCCTTGGTTTTGCTCCAATCTGTTGTTATAGCCACTAAGCATTGTGCGTGTCTTCTGAACTGAGGAACTAATCTTCAAACACGGTAACAGGCAATATTAATTTGTGATTCTTACATCTGTCCCTCCCACCCCCCACTGGCTAGCTTTCAGAAGATATTTCTTCTAGACTGTCCTAATCTAGAAGCTGTACTGAAAACCTGTCTGCCATGAGGGGCCTTGACTGGCATTTGAAATAATCGTAGCATAATTTTGAGCATCAGAGCAACAAACCAGACACCACAGTACGACAAACGTTATCTTTAGAGAATTTAAAATACTCACCTACTTGTAATGAAACTTAAGGTGGGTTCTAGTCATTAGCTCACCTCCTGCCCATAAATACTTTAGAAACTGCTTCCTAACGGATACCAGCTACTTTTTATTTTCAACAATTTTTACATTTGATCTGCTTTTGCCTCTTTGCTCCATATTCTGTTGGCAGGCATAGAGTAGAATAAGACCCTGAATTTCAGATATGATACTTCTCAAGTTGATTCGTTTCTTCTTGCAAACCAATGCCTTCTTTTGATTGGCTGACGGACAGTGCGTTGTATACTGGTACAGCTGACCCAAAGGAGGGCAGTTTGAATCTAAAAGTCACTTCCTAGAAAATAGAGGACAGTCCTTTTCTGCAATGACAGGGAACCCCAGAAACCTAACGGAGGCTCGCAATGAGTTGAAACCAGCTCAACAGGAGCGAGTTTGATTGAATTGACTAAACATTACCTTATTGGAACTCTGGTGGCCTAGTGATAAAAAGCTACGCTGCAATCCTGAAGGTGGACGGTTCAAATCCATCAGTTGCTCTGCAGGAGAAGGATGGGCAGTCTCCTCCCGTGCCCTTTACTGCCTCTGAAAACCTGCTGGAGGGTCAGCTTTGGGTTGACTCCAACTCAACAGTACACAACAATAACAATGCACACCTACATAAAAGACAGCCAAGATTTAGTTGGATTCTAGGCATGTGAAATGAAGATTTTCTGCCTAGGGAAAAAAACCAAAAAGTTGCTGCTTACAGATTTAGGTACCTCTATGTCTATTGAAAGCTGAATTACCTTTTTTGGCAGAGAGCAGTGAGAGTGTTAAGTGGAACAGTGAAAACAGTAAATGAATGCAGCAAAACATTACTTGAATATCTTTTTGAGAAAGGAGAGAAGGCAATGCACATCTTCTTGAAGATGATTGAAAGTTATCATTTCAAATGAACTCTGCATTATTCATAGGCCCCTGAAAATCCTATCTCTGTTTTTCTAAGTTGGATCTAAGATCTAATAGATGTTTTCCTAGAGGTATATTCATTCTTATACTATCACCCACATATTTTATTTTGATCTCTTGGGAGAGTCCTAATTATTCAACTTTTGGTTTTTCTCTTCCTGAGTTCTACATTAGGAAGAGTTATGAAGGCTTCCTAGACTTTTAGAATTTTAAAGGATTTTTCAAGGGCATATAGTCAAACTTCTGCCAATGCAGTAAATTTATCTTCACAGGACTTCTCATAGGATCAGCTTGTACTAAATTCTCTGTGTCAGAGAATTCACTAGTCCATTTCTCTTCTAGGTAATTCCAATTGTTCATATGCTAAAAGCTATTGAACCTTATTATTAGTATGCATCAAATACAGTGTAATTTCTCTTCCATCGTTACCAGACTATGTAGTTTTACATGATTGCTACATCCTCCTAATTGGTAAATGTAGTGCACTTTCTTCCTTATCTTGTTGGATTTCTGCAGCATTTTATGCTGTTTTTCACTGTCATTCTTGAAAGGTTCTCCTGCCCTGCCTTCTTTAACTCTCTTCTGGGTTTTCTAACGTGTCCATTTGACTTTTATTCTCAGTCTCTGTG